TATTAGGTATCTATTATGTGCCAGGCACTGTGCTAGGTGATGGGGATATAAAGACATAAATGAAACAGTTACTGCCCTCAAAGAACTTACATTCTATTTGGGGGGAACAACATGTAAAGATAAAATTAAATACATAATATATATAAAATTATTTACAAAGGAAAGATTCAGGTCTCATACAAAGGGAAATTTGTTGACAGTAGATTAGGGCTTAAAGAGATCACAATGAAAAGAGAGGTATGATATAGTGAGAGAAAGCTTAGGAAGGAAGGACAGAGCTGCATGGATAGATAAGAAAGAAGGAGAAGTGGCAGCCAAAGGAAAAAGTGTTTTCATTAAGCAGCCAGACTCAAAATAACACACAGGTGTTTTGAGTAAAGGTACTGAACAGCAAACACTATACCTTTTAGAGTAGCAACGGTAATATGATTTATCAATTCCTGAAGAAAATGTGAAGGGGGTAGGGAAGAGGTACAAGAGGTGGCACACACATGGCACCTGGGGAGATGATGGATACCTGGTTCTGTCTAATGGTCATAACAGAGAGAGCTGCTTATAGAGGAAGAAAGTGTGTCTAAGGGTCTCTCCCCTCCAATTCTCATCCAGCTCAGCTCTGTGCCAAGACTCATTCTGAAATTGAAAAAATTATCTCTTTTGGAGTGAAGGTCCCTTTCCCCTCATGACTGATCTTTTCCAAAAGCCACCTTCTTCGCAATGTTATAATAACTACATATAGCTTTCTATGTACCCACCTTTTTAACTATTCCATTCTCAAACTCATATCCAAAATGTAGTACAATCAGACTCCAACTGCCATTTCCAGCTTTATTTCACACTATTCCCCTATACCCACCCTTTCTCCAAATTTACCTGTTTCTCTTCAGGGCACAAGCATCTTTTCATTCATCAAATTTGCATCCTTGGTTATCCCTGCCTCTTCTTGTTCCCCCACTACACCCCCATCCAATCAGTGTTCAAAACTTATTGATCCTCCCACCACAAAAATCCCCTATTCGGCCAGCCAATGTATCCTAACTAAGGCTCTCATATAAACTATTACAATAAACTCCTAATTAGTCTCCGTGTTTTTTGTCTCTCATCTCCCATCTATCCTTGACACAGCTGCCAAATTAACACTATTGAGGCACAAGTCTGACCATGTTCACTACCCTGCTCAAAAATCTTTAGTGCCCTGCAACTGCCTCTAGAATAAAATAGGAACTCTTCAGCCAAGCATCTAATGCCTACGACTAATAGTTTCAAATTGGGGCAGCTGGGTGGTGCAGCAGATAGAGCACCAGCCCTGGATTCAGGAGAACTTGAGTTCAAATCTGACCTCAGACACATAACACTTAGTAGCTGTGTGACCCTGGGCAAGTCACTTAACCCCATTGCCTAGCCAAAAAAAAAAAGTTTCAAATCTATTTCTATACGTGTCTTTCCAGACTTTTTTCATATTACTCTCTCCTTCATTCACTCTATATTCTAGTCAAACTGGCATATTACTCATCTCCCATATTTGACAGGCTAGCTACCATATGAGGCAGCTTGGCCTAATGGATCAAGCACTAGAATAGTACAGTGGTTAAGAGCACTGGACTTGGAGTCAGGAAGGCCTGAGTTTACAACCCACCTCAGATACTTCCTAGCTGTGTAACCTTGGGCAAGTCACTTAACCTCTCTCAACCTCAGTTCATTGCCTACAAACTGGGGATAACAGCCTCTATCTCACAGGTTTGCTGTGAGGATCAATAGGATAAAGCACTCTGCAAACCTTAAAACCACATATAAATAATAGCATATGCAAAGGGCTTTGCAAACCTTAAGGTGCTATATAAATGGAGGGTATTATTATTATTATTATTATTATTATTATTATTATTATTATTGCCTCATGCCTTTCCACAGGCTGTTCCCCATGCCTGGAATACATTCTCTCCTCACTTCTGTCTCTTAGAAGGTCCCTAGCTTCAGGGGAGTTCAGGCACCACAATCAAAGTCTTTTCTGCTATTACACTGTTAACTCTTTTTTTTCAAATTGTCTTGCATTTATTAATCTCTGTATATGTTATATTGCCCCCAAATAGAACAGAAGCTCCTTGGGAGCAGGAACTATTTCATCTTTATTTTTATGTCTGCAGTATCTAGCATAGTACCCTTGTACACTGCAGGCGCTTAATAAATATTTGTTGAATTGGCTGCCTCTTCTTGCCCCCAGAAGGCAGAACTAGTGCAATGGATAAAAGCTTCAAAGAGGCAGATTTCTGCTTGTAAGTAACAATTTCTAATAATCAGAACCATCCGAAAGTAGCTACCTTGAGAATTTCTAAATTGTCAGGTAAAGACAAGGTGTCCCTTTGTAGAAGATTTTTATTGAGGTATTTGTTGGACCTGAGGTATTATGGCATAATAGACAGAAAGGTGGTCTTGGAGTCAGGAAGACTTGCCTTTAAGTTCCACTTCTGATATATACTGGCTGTATGACCCTGGGCAAATGACTTAGCCTCTCACTGCCCCAGGCAATTCCTAAAGACTATAAATTATAGAACAAGTGCCAATCTACACTGCCAAATGGAGTTTCCTTACAAGTAATAACAGAGAATTTCTTACACCAATGAAGTCACAAGTGTAGTCTCCCTTTCCCCATACCACCTTTCCAATTCTGAGTTTCTGAAAATATCTTGCAGGGATTGCCACACAGGAAAGACTTCAAGTACAACGGAATTGAGAGGGAAGGGGAGGGAGGAGATAGAATCTGCACCTACAATTTCATCATTATCCCACATTTAAAAAGTTACATTTTCTGAGGGTTATTTTTTTCCCCATGTCTCCATTATATGGTCAAAGGAAGGGGAGAGGGGGAGCTTCTTAATTAGTTCTGAGTAATTCACAAAAATGAAATTCCTAGTAAAATGATGAAAGGACTATAATAAGGCCATCTACTCTAGGGCTTGGAAAGATTTGCATTATGCTGTCTTCTTGGCTATAGCAAATGAAACATAGCTTATGAAAGAAATTTTAACATCACATAATACCCCTTCTTGTTTAGTCAATTCTATTCATGGCATGTTTTTCTTTTCTACATTTCTGTCCTTTTCCATTCCTCCCATCTGTTCTATACTCATACAACTCCTTCTAATCCACCCTATCTCTTACAACCCTCTAACTGATGCCACCCACCCACCTCCAACCATATAGACTTTCTTCTTCCTATTTTCTGTCCTTTTTTTTTAAAGCAACTAGAGCCACTAGAGGGCAACAAGCTCACAAGGATATATACTCTCACTTAATATAAATTAAGATATCCAGATACATGAAAGAAATATTTCAACATTTACGCTTTTGTACTTTAGTAACATTCATCATACTTAAAAATACAAGGCATATAAACTACAATTAATTCTAGACAATAGGTTACATAATTTTGTTACAGAATAAAGAAAGCAATTCTTTCCTTGATAAGCAGTACCACAGAAATAAGCCTAGTTATCACAGCTTTTTTTTTAAATATCTTGCATAATTTCTCCTCTTTCCCCCCCCCACTTTAAACTGTCACCTTGCTTTGGAGACATCTATTAGACCACATCAAGGACCTGGACCCACTACTCATAATAACTGCTACTCATCCACTAAGAGTCTCACTCCCTCTACCACCAATCCTGCCACTGATTAAAGAACAGTCACCCCAATTTAGATACATTAGATAGTTTAACTAGAATCCCATTTCCTAAAAATTCTTCCCAAGAAAAGCATTCAAAAAATTTTAAAGCAAGGAATTATAACGGAGGTTTCACAAGTAAAAGAGAACTTGGAGGGAATCTAGTCTAAACCCTTGAATTTGGTGAGGAAAATGAGGCCAAAAAAGGTTGAGACTTTCCCAAAATCATACAGCAAAGTGAATGACCAAGTGCAAATATCAATATTTGTAAAAGACAAGGAGATAGGAAGAAAAAAAGTTTCTGCAAAGTTATTGATAAAAGGATATTTACAGTAAGAATTTCCTTTCCTTTCAAATTTCAGATTTAAGAAAGAAAAAAGAAGCTACATTCCCAAACTACCACTCTAGAATCTCCATAAAAGGGCTGGCAAAATACTACAATCTGAAATAAGTCCCCAAACACACAGCATTTTTTGTCCTCTGTTCACTGGCAGTTACCATAATGCATTTTCACTATTAAGAAACCGGGGGGGGGGGGGGGCAGCTAGGTGGCACGGTGGATAGAGCACCGGCCCTGGATTCAGGAGGACCTAAGTTCAAATCCGGCCTCAGACACATAACACTTACTAGCTGTGTGACTCTGGGCAAGTCACTTAACCCCACTGCCTAGCAAAAAAAAAGAAAAAAGAAAAGAAACCAAGGGAGACTAAAATAGGAAACATATTAAAGAAGTTAAGGCCACAAAAATGAATGTTTTCAAATGCCTAATTTTTCCAACTTTATATTCATCTATCAGGGAATGACAGGATACATGGTATAGTGCAAAGAAAACTGGGCTGAAAGGTCTGGAGACCAAGGTTTTAGGCCCCAGCTGTCACTCAGCAGCTATCTCATGTTGAGTATTTCACAATCTCATTTTATTCATCTATTAAAAAATTACTGAGTTGGGCTTAAGATCTTTAAAGTCCCTAATTAAGCTATAAACTTCTGATTTAATTGTATGTCTGTCATTTTCTGATAAGCCCTTCTTGCATGATATTTAGAAGTAAAGGGGGAAAAACAAGTATTTTGGTTCATGTGGCTTGGGGGAGGAGAGATAAGCATTAAGCTATTAACCCTGACCATCTTTAAAATTGGAGGGGAGAGAAGAGAGAGAGGAACATAGTCCAGGGAAATGCATTACTAATAATCCACAAAAAAGTATTAAAGTATTTTCTACTTTTTCCAAAAAGACTTCTAATTAAGAGTAATATATGCCTTCTTCTCTGAAACATATTTAGAGAGACAATACAAAACTATAACATATAACGTTAACATTTTACTAAGCAAGCAATTATCTTACCCTCATTGGATGTATGTCAGCATAAGGTGGTTTTCCTTCAGCCATTTCTATAGATGTGATACCAAGGGACCAGATATCTGCCACACAGTTATAACCAATTTCTTGTATTACTTCAGGAGCCATCCAAAATGGAGTTCCAATAACAGTATTACGTTTTGCCATTGTATCCTGTAAGAGCATTACATAAAAATGATTAGAATTTATATAGCATAGCACAGTAATAGGTATGTAAGCACATTCATTTAAATGCTGTAACTTACACCTAGAGCTAACCATTCAGCATACTGATCTTTACAGCTATGTCAGAACATAAGACTGAGAGACAGAAGAGACTTCTGAAGTCATCTCCTCCAAGCTTTCATTTTACAAATGAGTAAACCAAGACCCACACACAGATAAAGTCACTTGCCCAAGGGCAAGCAAACAATAAGAACAAGAGTCAAAATTCAAATCCCACATTCTGACTCTAAAGCCAGTGTTATTTCCACATCTTCTAAGAATAACCTAAAATAGTTAATCCTGAACTAAAGTACCTTTCCACACATGACTGTTGTAGAAGCTAAGCTACACTGTAACCCTAAATGATTACAGTAACAGTAACAAAGGCTATGAAAATGATAGTTACACGTGTTTCTTTTCTGAAGAATTGAAGCATCTGAATGACAAAATAATGTCGTATCCACTAAATATCGATGACTGTCTAACACAGAAAAAAAAGGAAAGAAAAAATAGCAAAGCAAATAAGAGAGGTAGCAACACCAAGATTACGGATTTTTCACTTAAAAAATTAAACTTAAGTGTTCATTTGTTTCAGATAAAGTTGTGATAAATTTTTGGTCAATATTTCTTTGCCTGAGGCTTAAAGACACTGAAGCAAGCCACCATAACCTTAGTTTCTCACTCCTGTAAATATCATTTTATATCTATTTAAAACAAAATGTAAGAATGTAAGAAATTCTAAAATCCCATTTTAATAGGTATAATGAACAAGAGAGTTGTAAGTGAACTTTGAGGTTATTTAATCTAACCCCTATCCAATTCATGAAATCATGTCTCGAATAGCCTCAAAAACTGATCAGGAGAGCCTCTGAACACCTTTAATGACAAGAAACTTACTATACCTCAAGTAGCAGTACATCCCATTTTGAAAGAGTTCTAATTATTAAAAAGTTTTTTTAATTAAGCTGAAAATTATCTCCATGTGCCTTACCTAATAGTAAAATTGCCTCACAGTTTTCTCGATTAAGTCTAATCACTCTTTAACATGGCAGTTTTTGAATATTTGAAAATTATCATGTCCTTTCTAAGTTTTACTTTCTTTTAACCTTTCAGAAAAGCAAGAGGCAAGTAATATAGTGAAAAGAAAGCTGAATTTGGGATCAAGAAGGCTGGGTTTACGTCTCAGCTACGATATTTACTATTGGCTTGACCAAGATTTAGCCACTTAATCTTTCTGAGCCTCGATTTCTTCATCCATAAAATGGAGATAATAATGCTTACCTTTCCTACCTCAAAAAGTTATAAAATATGAGTTATTGTCATAATAGCAGTATAAAATTTTATCCCAACCATTTTACAGATATTGTGGCCCAATATAAGATAATAATTGTGTGGTAAACATCTATTTTCCCAAAGTCTCTATTATACTTACTGTTAATTGCCCAGCCACTCCAAAATCGGCTAATTTTGCATGCCCTTCTGTGTTGAGGAGAATGTTTCCCGCCTTTATATCTCGATGTATTTTTCTCATGAAGTGCAAATATTCAAGTCCTTTCAAAGTGGATTTAAGAATAGTTGCAATTTCATCTTCAGTTAACTGAAAACCAATAAAAATAGTTATTAATCTTTTATGTTGGGAAAATCTTAACTACAATCCCACAGTTACACAATCACTTATTAGAAAATTTTATTTATAAAATCTTTTTTTCTTTTAATCATAAAGATTACAGGAAAAAGTAAATTATCCCCAAATCTTTCCTTTTCCCTCACTATTCCCTTATTCTTCACCCTTCTCATTCCATACTTTTCTATCAAATAGATGGCTAATTTGCCATATTTTAAAAAAGCAAGAACAACAAATATGTCTATCAATCTACTAATCAGTCTATGAAATTACTCTTAAATATCTTGTTCACCAGTTATCGAATACAAAAGGTGGCCATAATGCAACTTTTCTCAACTTATACTACAGCTTTTAATTAATTTATATTTTTCTTTATTCCCTTTGTTGTCTGTCATCTTTCTTATCTGGAGCCAGCAGGCCATACTGGAAAGGCAAAACAATATGCTTTCACAAAAAGGAGCAAATCAGGATCATCAGACTACTGTGTTCCTGAAAGAAGTATGATGATTTCATCCAGAAGATGCTGAATCCTGGTACCTGTCAGCTAACTATAACTTAGAAAACTCCTTCATCCTACTCCAAGGGGCAAATGGAGATGAAAGGGAAAGGAGACTAAGGTCTTGCTTTGAAAAGGGGTCATGGTAGAAAGAGACATTGTTGTAATACATTAATAAGATAGCAATGTAATTTATGTATAACAATTTAGAGGTTAGGTTTGGGTTTTTTTTAGTTTTAATTTTAGTTTAGTTTGGGTGTTAAGTTTTTAACACTTATCTGTCTGCAATTCCACAATCCAAATGTTTTTCCCCACTCTTTGTAATGGGGAGACTGCCCAATGAGGGTCTAGTCCTTAGAAGATGCTCAGATTTGATCTTTCAGGTGCAAATATTTCCCAACCTACTTCCCATCTAACTACATATAGAAGCTTGGTGAGCCTACTTCTGGGCAAGAGTGACTAGAAGGTGGTGCTTTGTGGAGCCTTCTATTTGGCTGTGGAGCCAGAAAAGTCCATGACTGAGGACAAGCTAAGAAGAACTGAGTTTTATTCAACATGCTCCTCTCTTGACCCATTTATGCCCACCTGAGAGTCAGTTTTTATAAAGGCATCATGTACAGTTGAGAAATATGTATATTTCATTCTATTTTCATTCACGAATCATAGTGATTTATGATATCTAACTACTCTAAAATTCTGTTCAGGGCCTTTGTGTGTAACATGAGATGGTTACATAGAGAATTTGTGCATTTCCATGTGTGTTCACATGTTTGTACTTTCAAACCTTTTTTTAGTTCAGATAATTTTGTTTCATGTGATTCCTGCTCCTCCCACTTTTTTCTCTATGTTTATATATTCTTCTTCCACAATCCAATTATTAAAAATAGGAAGTTCTACCCTCTCCTCATTTCTTCCCTTGTGTATTTTTTTCTTCTCCCTTTACTTTCCTCTCTTAAGATCATCAAAAGGAAACAAAACCAATTCCAGGCCCCTTCTTTACCTTATTTACCTCCCTCTATGATCCATGAAAATATCAGAATTCTAAAGGAACATAGTTTCTTCTCCCCCATTAAAATATGAGCACTTTATCACTATTTAGCCACTTCCTTATTGTCTTTATTTCTCTGACTACCATGTTTGCATTTCAAAGATTCTGCCTAGCTTGTCTTTTCATCAGGGATAGCCGAAAGTCTTCTATTCCACTACTATTTCCCTGTAAGATTACACTCAGTCTTACAAGGTAAGCTACTTTTGTTGTAAGCCCTTCTCTTTTACCTTTTGGGATATCATATTCTAAGATTTTTTTCACTCAATACAAGTTACTACCAAATCTTATGTAATCCTGGTTGTGTCATTATTTAAGACTTGAACTCTTTTTTTCTGGTACCACAACCTTCAGGTCCCTCCGGAGCATCTCAGATCAGAATGCTATAGCACTCTGGTTTCCAGAGATGTCCCAGTCAGAGCTCTCTTAGCTTCACATTCAGAACACTGGACATTTCTGAACACTCCCAACAAACTTCCGAACCAAGTATTATCATCGTTCTTAGCCCACCTGAAGCAGAGCAATGAAGGTTTCAGGTGCTTTCAGAATGCCTCTCCTCAAAGAGCTAGCAAATGTTCAGCTTGTTTCCAACTGTGCTCAGGCTGATTTCTCTAGCAAGATCACTTTTCCAGTGCCCACAGCCTTCTTGCAATTTTTTTTTTTTTGCTTTTTGGCGAGGCAATTGGGGTTAAGTGACTTGCCCGGGGTCACACAGCTAGCATCAAGTGTCTGAGGCCGGATTTGAATTAAGGTCCTCCTGACTCCAAGGCCTGAGTTCTATCTACTGTGCCACCTAGCTGCCCCGCTTCTAGCTATTTTTGTGCAGTCCTAGACTGAATGAAGGAGTTTACCATCGTTTTTTCTCAGACCTTCTTGATTACTTTTAAATTTGATGTTCTTTTTAGATCTTTGCTAGAGCATATATGGGAGAGGTGGGTTCTTCCTTTCCCAGTGCCACCTTAATTAAGTCTTCTCTCAAGGTTTTCAATTCTATTTGCTTAAATCCATTGTACCTGTCAACTCCTCACTAATTTGACCTTTTGCCAGCCTAAACTAAAGTCTCTTCAACTGTAGTAAAGTGAAAATATCACATACTCTGGAGTCACAGGACTTGGTTCAAATTCTAGCTTTGTAACTTGTGTAACCTTGAGCAAATCACTGTGGCTCCGTTCCTTATTTGTAAAAAGAGAAGTAGGACTAGATCATCTCTAAGATCTCTTCTAGCTCTAAATCTATGATCATATGATCCCTTTTTCTTCACTGGATGTCTGTTTTTGCCCTGTCTTCTACCGCAATCAACTCAATACTGACAATGCAGAAGCAGTTAATTTGCTCTTTGGGGAAAAAAAGGGGGGGGGTTTGAGGAAAAAAATTCTGCAAACTTCTTTGATAGAAGTAAAGATAGATTTCGAGATTTTTTTATTTTAAAAAATGGTCTGGTAAATATTCAAAGAATTTCCTGAACTGAGATTTTAAGGAGATCTATTTCAATCCCCTCCCTGAGGATCAAAGAGTTAGGTGACTTATCATTTAAAGTCACATTTCACTACTAGCACTGTGACTAAGATTCTAAACTCCTAATTCCTTGTATAGTGTTCTTTCTACTATATTATAAAATGTATATTTAAAAATTGTGGAAACCCTAGAGCACCACATTAATATCAGCTATTATTATTATATGATTCATTTGAAAAGCTAAGCCTAGAACATGACATAATGGAACAAACACAGGACCTAGAGATCAGGATTCAAATTCCAACTCTAACACTTTCTAGCTTTGTTAACTGTGAACAGATTATTTAACTTGTGTGAGCCTGAGCTTCCTCATTTTTTTAAATTGGAGAACCTGAAACAATATTTAAAATATCTATATCACTGGGTTGTTGTGAGGAATATTTTTTACAAACCTTAAAGTGTTGTATAATGTGATCTATTATTAGAGCTATTATCTTATGTCTTTCTTTACATTTTTGTGATTTTGCACATGTGGGTACATGCTCCAACAACAAAGAGAATAAACCTTTCATGACTAAGAAGACTGTCTCTGAGAGGTTCCATAGCCAAAAAATTCATCACCCTGTGGCTATCTCAGTAATGAGTCTCTTCCACCTTAGGTTAGTTTATCTCTCTTTCACTAGATCTATACTAGAAGTCTTTACAGTGTGGTAGATCCTGCCTCCCAAGTAGCATAACTCTGAAAACCTGGAGTCACCATGTTAATAATATAAATAATAACAACTGCATCGTAATAATAATTGTGTGATGATAACTTTATGATAACATAAAATGCTAAAAAGTCTTCTGACAAAATCTGACACTTTTTTAAAAACTCTAGAAATCATATGAATAAAGAGAACTTTTCTTAATATAGAAAATAGTATTTGATCTAAATCCAAGAGCAAACATTATAATATATAATGGAGAAAAGTTAGAGGCCTTTCCAATAAGATCAAGAGTAAAGCAAAGATGACCATTAGCACCACTATTATTTAACACAATGCTATAAAATCAAGATAAGAAACAGAAACTAAAGGAATAAACAGAAGCAGAGGAAACAAAATCATCCCTTTTGAAGGTGACAGAATAGTACATTTAGAGAACTCTAGAAAATCAACTAAAAAATTAACTGAAATAATTAACTTCACAAAATTGTAGCATATACAATAGATACATGCAAATCATCAGCATTCATATATAACCAATAAAACCAGTAGGAAGAGCTGAAAAAAGGAAATTCCATTCAAAATAACCAAAAGAACTACAAACTATATGGGAGTCTATCTACCAAGATTACTCAACAGCTACATAAATATTTATAAAACACTCCTTGCAGAGACACAAACCTAAATAACAAGCAATAGTGGGTAGGTTGATTCAATATAATAAAGGAAATGCTACCTAAATAAATTTATTTATTCAACATTAATCAAACTAACAAAGCCATATTTTATATAACTAGAAAAAATAATAATGAAATTCATATGGCAGAACAAAAGGTCAAGAATCCAAGGATAATCATGGGGGGGAGGGGGGAGAACCGGAGGAGGAAGGGGAATGTAGGAAGGAACAGGGTCTATCAGTGCCAGATCTCAAACAGAATTACAAAGTATTAATCACTAAAATAAGAGAGAGAAGGGGTGTGTGTGGGTGTGGGTGTGGGTGGGTGTGTGGGTGTGGGTGTGTGAGAGAGAGAGAGAGAGATCTTTGAAATAAATTAGGTACACAACATACAGAAATACAAAAACACATAACAATGTTTGATGAGCCCCAAAACTGTAAGAAGTTAATGGAAGAAGATTTTCCTATTTGACAAAAACTGCTCGGAAAACTGAATAGTAGTCTGGCATAAATTAGGTTTATATAACATCTCACACCATATGCCAAGACAGCCTCCAAATGGATGCATCACCTAGATATAAAAAGTCACATCAT